CACACACACACAAACACAAACACACACACACACCACACACACACACACACACAAAGCCAAATCTGACTCGAAGCTGTTATACAGCCACATCAGGAGGAAAACAACATCCAAGGACCAGGTAATCAGGCTGAGGAAAGGAAGGAGGAGAGACAACAAGAAATGACTGCAAAGTATGTGAGGAACTCAACATGACATTCAAAGAAGTGTTCACGGAGGAGACAGAAGGGACTCCAGAGAGACAGAGAGGTGGAGTACACCATCAAGTGCTGGACACAATACATACAACCGAGTAAGAAGTGAAGAGGCTGCTAAACGAGCTAGATACCTCAAAGGCGATGGGGCTGGATAACATCTCTCCATGAGTCCTGAGAGAGTGAGCAGAGGCGCTATGTGTACCAATAACAACAATCTTCAACACATCTATCCAAATAGGGCGACTACCTGAGGTATGGAAGACAGCAAATGTAGTCACAAATTTTAAAAAGGATACAGACAAGAAGCATTACAGTACAGACCAGTGTCGCTGACATGTATAGTATGCAAAGTCATGGAGAAGATTATCAGAAGAGTGGTGGAACACTTAGAAAGGAATCAGCTGATCAACGACAACCACCAAAGGTTAAGGGATGGAAAATCCTTTGTCACAAACCTACTGGTGTTCTATGACAGGGTGACAGTAGTAAGACAAAAGAGAGGGGTGGGTTGAGTGCAATTTCTTGGACTATAAAAAGGCTTTTGATACAGCTCTACACAAGAGATTAGTGCAAAAGCTGGAGGACAAAGCAGGTATAACAGGGAAGGCACTAAAATGGATCAGGGAACACCTGGGAGGGATGAGAGGTGGGGAGGTGGAGTAGGTGGGGAGGGATGAGAGGGGAGGTTAGGGGAGGTGGAGTAGGTGGGAAGGGATGAGAGGGGGAGGGTAGGGGAGGTGGAGTAGGTGGGGAAGGGATGAGAGGGGGAGGGTAGGGGAGGTGGAGTAGGTGGGAAGGGATGAGATGAGGGAGGGTAGGGGAGGTGAAGCAGGTGGGAAGGGATGAGAGAGGGAGGGTAGGGGAGTGTGGAGTGGTGGGAAGGGATGAGAGAGGGAGGGTAGGGGAGGTGGAGTAGGTGGGAAGGGATGAGAGGGGGAGGTTAGGGGAAGTGGAGTAGGTGGGAAGGGATGAGAAGGGGAGGGTAGGGGAGGTGGAGCAGGTGGGAAGGGATGAGAGAGGGAGGGTAGGGGAGGTGGAGTAGGTGGGAAGGGATGAGAGGGGAGGGTAGGGGAGGTGGAGTAGGTGGGAAGGGATAAGAGGGGGAGGGTAGGGGAGGTGGAGTAGGTGGGGAAGGGATGAGAGAGGGAGGTAGGGGAGGTGGAGCAGTGGGAAGGGATGAGAGAGGGAGGGTAGGGGAGGTGGAGTAGGTGGGAAGGGATGAGAGGGGGAGGGTAGGGGAGGTGGAGAAGGTGGGAAGGGATGAGAGAGGGAGGGTAGAGGAGGTGGAGCAGATGGAAGGGATGAGAGAGGGAGGGTAGAGGAGGTGGAGTAGGTGGGAAAGGATGAGAGGGGGAGGGTAGGGGAGGTGGGAGTAGGTGGGAAGGGATGAGAGGGGGAGGGTAGGGGAGGTGGAGTAGGTGGGAAGGGATGAGAGAGGGAGGGTAGGGGAGGTGGAGTAGGTGGGAAGGGATGAGAGAGGCAGGGTAGGGGAGGTGGAGTAGGTGGGAAGGGACGAGAGGGATAGGATAGGGGAGGTGAGTAAGTGGGAAGGGATGAGAGAGGAGGGTAGGGAGGTGGAGTAGGTGGGAAGGAATGACAGGGGGAGGGTAGGGGAGGTGGAGTAGGTAGGAAGGTATGAGAGGGGGAGGGTAGGGGAGGGATGAGAGGGGGGAGGGTAGGGAGGTGGACGATGGGGGAGAGGGTAAGGGAGTGAAGGAGTGATGGAGAGAGGGAGTTAGTGACGGAGAGAGTGAGGGATTGAGTGAAGGAGTGAGTGACGGAAGGAGAAAGGGAGTCATGGAGTGACAGAGTGAGGGAGAGAGTGAGGGAGGGGGAGTGAGGGATAGGGGAGTGAGGGAGGGGAGTGAGGGAGGGGAAGTGAGGGAAGGGGGAGTGAGGGAAGGGGAGTGAGGGAGGGGGAGTGAAAGAGGGGGAGTGAGGGAGGGGTCAGTGAGGGAGGGGGTGAGGGAGGAGGTGAGAGAGGGGGGCAGTGAGGGAGAGGGGGAGGGAGGGGGTGAGGGAGGGGGTGAGGGAGGGAGGTGAGGGAGGGGGTGAGGGAGGGGGCAGTGAGGGAGAGAGGGAGGGAGGGGGTGAGAGAGGGGGGCAGTGAGGGAGAGGGGGGAGGGAGGGGATGAGGGAGAGGGCAGTGAGGGAGGGGGTCAGTGAGGGAGAGGGGTGAGGGATGGGGGTGAGGGATGGGGGTGAGGGAGGGGGGCAGTGAGGGAGGGGGGCAGTGAGGGAGGGGGCCAGTGAGGGAGGGGGGCAGTGAAGGAGGGGGGCAGTGAGGGAGGGGGCAAGTGAGGGAGGGGGGCAGTGAGGGAGGGGGGCAGTGAGGGAGGGGGCAGTGAGGGAGGGGCCAGTGAAAGAGGGGGCAGTGAGAGAGGGGGGCAGTGAGGGAGGAGGGCAGTGAGGGAGGGGGCAGTGAGGGAGGGGGAAGTGAGGGAGGGGGGCAGTGAGGGAGGGGGTCCAGTGAGGGAGGGGGCAGTAAGGGAGGGGGGCAGTGAGGGAGGGGGCCGTGAAGGAGGGGGCAGTGAGGGAGGGGGCCAGTGAGGGAGGGGGCCAGTGAGGGAGGGGGCAGTGAGGGAGGGGGCCAGTGAGGGAGGGGGGCAGTGAGGGAGGGGGCAGTGAGGGAGGGGGGCAGTGAAGGAGGGGCAGTGAGGGAGGGGGGCAGTGAGGGAGGGGGGCAGTGAGGGAGGGGGGCAGTGAGGGAGGGGGGCAGTGAAGGAGGGGGGCAGTGAAGGAGGGGGGCAGTGAGGGAGGGGGCCAGTGAGGGAGGGGGGCAGTGAGGGAGGGGGGCAGTGAAGGAGGGGGGCAGTGAAGAGGGGGGCAGTGAAGGAGGGGGCCAGTGAGGGAGGGGGGCAGTGAAGGAGGGGGCCAGTGAGGGAGGGGGGCAGTGAAGGAGGGGGGCAGTGAAGGAGGGGGGCAGTGAAGGAGGGGGGCAGTGAGGGAGGGGGGCAGTGAGGGAGGGGGGCAGTGAGGGAGGGGGGCAGTGAAGGAGGGGGGCAGTGAGGGAGGGGGGCAGTGAAGGAGGGGGCAGTGAAGGAGGGGGCCAGTGAGGGAGGGGGGCAGTGAAGGAGGGGGCCAGTGAGGGAGGGGGGCAGTGAAGGAGGGGGGCAGTGAGGGAGGGGGCAGTGAGGGAGGGGGGCAGTGAGGGAGGGGGCCAGTGAGGGAGGGGGCAGTGAGGGAGGGGGCGGCAGTGAGGGAGGGGGCAGTGAGGAGGGGGGCAGTGAGGGAGGGGGGCAGTGAGGGAGGGGGGGCAGTGAGGGAGGGGGCAGTGAGGGAGGGGGCCAGTGAGGGAGGGGGCAGTGAGGGAGGGGGGCAGTGAGGGAGGGGGGCAGTGAGGGAGGGGGCCAGTGAGGGAGGGGGCAGTGAGGGAGGGGGGAAGTGAGGGAGGGGGCCAGTGAGGGAGGGGGAAGTGAGGGAGGGGGGGCAGTGAGGGAGGGGGCCAGTGAGGGAGGGGGCAGTGAGGGAGGGGGGCAGTGAGGGAGGGGGGCAGTGAGGGAGGGGGCAGTGAAGGAGAGGGGCAGTGAGGGAGGGGAGATCCAAGATCAAAGTGATCCGTCCTTAATAAGACAATCATAGATGAACGTGTTGGATCATCTCTCCGCCAAATCGCCAAAAATACCCTATTCGCCATAGTGGGAGTCTACCTATTCGCCATAGTGGGAGTCTACCTATTCGCCATAGTGGGAGTCTACCTATTCGCCATAGTGGGAGTCTACCTATTCGCCATAGTGGGAGTCTACCTATTCGCCCTAGTGGGAGTCTACCTATTCGCCCTAGTGGGAGTCTACCTATTCGCCCTAGTGGGAGTCTACCTATTCGCCCTAGTGGAAGTCTACCTATTCGCCCTAGTGGAAGTCTACCTATTCGCCACAGTGGGAGTCTACCTATTCGCCACAGTGGGAGTCTACCTATTCGCCACAGTGGGAGTCTACCTATTCGCCACAGTGGGAGTCTACCTATTCGCCATAGTGGGAGTCTACCTATTCGCCCTAGTGGGAGTCTACCTATTCGCCCTAGTGGGAGTCTACCTATTCGCCCTAGTGGGAGTCTACCTATTCGCCACAGTGGGAGTCTACCTATTCGCCACAGTGGGAGTCTACCTATTCGCCACAGTGGGAGTCTACCTATTCGCCACAGTGGGAGTCTACCTATTCGCCACAGTGGGAGTCTACCTATTCGCCACAGTGGGAGTCTACCTATTCGCCATAGTGGGAGTCTACCTATTCGCCATAGTGGGAGTCTACCTATTCGCCATAGTGGGAGTCTACCTATTCGCCATAGTGGGAGTCTACCTATTCGCCATAGTGGGAGTCTACCTATTCGCCATAGTGGGAGTCTACCTATTCGCCATAGTGGGAGTCTACCTATTCG